TCCCCAGACTGCCCTCCCTGCAGGGCTCCCTGACGGTACACGCCTCCCCAGACTGCCCTCCCTCCCTGACGGGCGGCCTTGCTCGGGGGTGAGCAGGGCTCCCCGACGGTACACGCCTCCCCAGACTGCCCTCCCTGCCTGACGGTACACGCCCTTGCTCGGGGGTGCTAGGGCAGGGCTCCCTGACGCCTGACGCCTCCCCAGACTGCCCTCCCTCCCTGACGGGCGGCCTTGCTCGGGGGTGAGCAGGGCTCCCTGACGGTACACGCTTCCCCAGACTGCCCTCCCTGACGGGCGGCCCTGCTCGGGGGTGCTAGGGCAGGGCTCCCTGACGGTACACGCCTCCCCAGACTGCCCGCCCTCCCTGACGGGCGGCCTTGCTCGGGGGTGAGCAGGGCTCCCTGACGGTACACGCCTCCCCCGACTGCCCTCCCTGACAGGCGGCCTTGCTCGGGGGTGCTAGGGCAGGGCTCCCTGACGCCTGACGCCTCCCCCGACTGCCCTCCCTCCCTGACGGGCGGCCCTGCTCGGGGGTGCTAGGGCAGGGCTCCCTGACGCCTGACGCCTCCCCCGACTGCCCTCCCTCCCTGACGGGCGGCCCTGCTCGGGGGTGCTAGGGCAGGGCTCCCTGACGCCTGACGCCTCCCCCGACTGCCCTCCCTCCCTGACGGGCGGCCCTGCTCGGGGGTGCTAGGGCAGGGCTCCCTGACGCCTGACGCCTCCCCCGACTGCCCTCCCTCCCTGACGGGCGGCCCTGCTCGGGGGTGCTAGGGCAGGGCTCCCTGACGCCTGACGCCTCCCCCGACTGCCCTCCCTCCCTGACGGGCGGCCCTGCTCGGGGGTGCTAGGGCAGGGCTCCCTGACGCCTGACGCCTCCCCCGACTGCCCTCCCTCCCTGACGGGCGGCCCTGCTCGGGGGTGCTAGGGCAGGGCTCCCTGACGCCTGACGCCTCCCCCGACTGCCCTCCCTCCCTGACGGGCGGCCCTGCTCGGGGGTGCTAGGGCAGGGCTCCCTGACGGTACACGCCTCCCCAGACTGCCCTCCCTGCCTGACGGGCGGCCTTGCTCAGGGGTGAGCAGGGCTCCCTGACGGTACACGCCTCCCCAGACTGCCCTCCCTGACAGGCGGCCTTGCTCGGGGGTGCTAGGGCAGGGCTCCCTGACGGTACACGCTTCCCCAGACTGCCCTCCCTGACGGGCGGCCTTGCTCGGGGGTGAGCAGGGCTCCCTGACGGTACACGCCTCCCCAGACTGCCCTCCCTGACGGGCGGCCTTGCTCGGGGGTGAGCAGGGCTCCCTGACGGTACACGCTTCCCCAGACTGCCCTCCCTGACGGGCGGCCTTGCTCGGGGGTGCTAGGGCAGGGCTCTCTGCCTAGGCTAGGGCAGGGCTCCTCACGGCAGGGAGAGCACCAAGCGGTCCTCCCTTGTGATCACAAGCCTTTACCATCGTGCCCAGCCTACTGTGTCCCAAACATAGCCTACTAGCACTAGTGAAGCACGCACTGCAGCAGCAAGAGCACTGTATGAGAACTGTTTCGCCTGCGCATGTAGGCACGCGCGTCTACCTATGTCTATACGTATGTGGCTCCTATGACCCAGAAGGTAAATCTCACAGCTTATGGTCAGAAATTTGAGAGCTGCCAGAGAGTAGACTGAGTAGTTACCTTTTCACACCCCATCCCTAAAGAAGCTTTCTTTTCTTTCCTTCTCTGTTAATTATCTAGAGCAGTCCCCTGAATGGTAGAGACTTTCTAGGAGACTAAGGTATTGAAGGACTATAGTGGGTGTTTAAATGGGGGTGGGGGGTTTAGAACCTACAACCTCATATATGTTAACCTCATATATTGCTATATCATTAAGCCATGCCCTTAGCTCCAGAGGCTTCTGATTTGCCTAGTATCATGTTGTATATAGCTGTGGTATTGGCCTCGTCAGTAATCAACCAGTGCAGCCCCTCCTTCCCCCAAGGGGGCCAGCACTACTACTACCAGCGGGTTATTACTTCTAAGAAGATATGGTAGGGCTTCCAACACGTCTGTCATCTCAAGCCCATTGCTCTTCCTCTTCAGCAAAAGCGAAAACTTCGGATCTATATTTCCAATACATTCAGCCCCAGCAAGACAGACGGCGATAACGCAGGAACTGCAGGAACCCCTGGGGGAACTCCAGCAGCAGACAAGGTGGCTTCCTGGGAGCTTCGAGTGGAAGGCAAACTTCTGGATGATGTGAGTTGGAGAAAGAGGTATTGGGAGGGGAGGGGTGTATAAATTTAGACTGTGGACAGACATGAGCACTCAGTCCTAGGATAGGGAAAGGGTGAGGTTAGAATTGGTGGTGGGGGGGTTGTTTCTATGCTGGGGATCAAACCCTGGACCTCACACACATTAGGCAAGTGCTCCGTGAGAGACTGAGGATGGGCATCTGGAGTTATTACAACGCTCCTATGGATGGCAGTCGAGTCTTGGATTCCCTCACTCACTTGGGTCAATGGAGAGGAGCCCTTTTCCTGCCCTTTGACAAACTTTGCTACTTCAGGGCCCAAGACTGTGCCTTGAGCTCCAGGACTGAATCGCTGCTCCAATGAATTCAGCAGCACACCCATCTTACAGCTCTTTCCATTCCCAGCCTAGCAAACAGAAGAGGAAGTTTTCATCTTTCTTTAAGAGCCTTGTCATTGAGCTGGACAAGGAGCTGTATGGGCCTGACAACCACCTGGTGGAGGTGAGAATGGTCCTAGAGCCTGGGAGGGACAAGCTGCCAGGGGATACAGAGCGTAAACTCGGGTACCAGTGTGCTGATTGAGTGCTGTACCTATCCGTTAGGGATAAACTCTGCTCCCCTTTTCTCCGACAGTGGCATCGGATGCCCACCACCCAAGAAACAGATGGCTTCCAGGTCAAACGACCAGGAGATCTCAATGTCAAGTGCACCCTCCTGCTCATGCTGGATCACCAGGTGACAGATGCCCAGGGTCATGTGGGGCCATGCGGATTCATGCAGGGAAGGGGAGCAGATGCCTGTAACTCAGTGTTACCTAAGACCATCGGAAAACAGATACTTCCATTAGAACTCGTAACAGTAGCAAAGTTATAGTGTGAAGTAGCAACGAAAAGGAACTGTATTAAATAGAGTTCCAGCTTTAGGAAGTTTGAGAGCCACTGCTCTGACTCCTTCCTGTTCTGTCTCTGCACAAGAGCCTTTCTTTACTCCTCTGTCCATTCCAGCCGCCTCAGTATAAACTGGACCCCCGGCTGGCACGGTTGCTGGGAGTGCACACACAGACGAGGGCTGCCATCATGCAGGCGCTGTGGCTTTACATCAAACACAACCAGCTGCAGGACGGGCATGAGCGGGAGTACATCAATTGCAATCGCTACTTCCGCCAGGTCAGCTGGTACTACCTTCTTGTTCCCTCAGCCCCTGGCTCATCTGCTTTGGAAGCCTAGTGGGCAAGTACTCAGTCTTTTGACTGCGTCTGTTGGCCCTGGAGAAGTCTATTCCCCGGTTCCCTCAGGCATCAGCATGCCTTGGATGCTCTTTCTAGATCTTCAGTTGTGGCCGACTCCGTTTCTCTGAGATTCCCATGAAGCTGGCTGGATTGTTGCAGCATCCAGACCCCATTGTTATCAATCATGTCATTAGGTAAACAGGAAAAGGAATGGGATGGCTCTTTGGAAACAGGACTCACCGCAGAACTTTACTCATAGAGCAGGCTTGGTGGTTGGGATGTGCACAGCCATGTTTCTGCTTCCTTCCTTTGCTGCCTGCAGTGTGGACCCGAATGACCAGAAGAAGACAGCCTGCTATGACATTGATGTGGAGGTGGATGACCCACTGAAGGCCCAGATGAGCAACTTTCTGGCCTCTACCACCAACCAGCAGGAGATTGCCTCTCTTGATGTCAAGGTGAGTCCTTTGTCTCCACAGCAACTGAAGCCAGAGTGAGGGTCAGCGGCTCTTGTCATTTCCACACAGCACATTTAGGATAGGACCTCTGGACCTAGATATAAGAAGAGACTCCCAGACTGGAGCACTCATGACACTTGCACCCTTCTCCAGATCCACGAGACTATTGAGTCCATCAACCAGCTGAAGACCCAGAGGGATTTCATGCTTAGCTTTAGCACTGACCCCCAGGACTTCATTCAGGAATGGCTCCGTTCCCAACGCCGAGACCTCAAGGTATAGTCAGTCCTCTTGTTTTGAAGGTGGTCTCACTGGGTGACTTTTACCCCAAGTACTATTCCAGTCCCAGAGCAGACTGGCTCAGAGGTGGGAATTATGCCACACCTTACCCCTTGCCCTTTACAGATCATCACGGATGTGATTGGGAACCCTGAGGAGGAGAGACGAGCTGCTTTCTACCACCAGCCCTGGGCTCAGGAAGCAGTTGGGAGGCACATCTTTGCCAAGGTGAGGCTCTGCCAGTTTTTTTTTTTTTTTTGCCTCCTTTTCTTGAGAAGCTGAAGCCTGAGCCATGCTTTCTCTTCTCCAGGTGCAGCAGCGAAGGCAGGAACTGGAACAGGTGCTGGGAATTCGCCTGACCTAACTGCTCAGGGATTGCTTCCTTCCTTCCCAGCCCCGGAACCTGGCGGGAGACCATCCTCTTGGTTTTGGCTGGGGCTGCAGACCTCCATGTAGGATGGAGTGAGGTGTGTCTCCTATCACCCTCTACTCCCCAGCTAGTTTCATAAATGTAGTGTTAGGATTCCTTATTGCTTGGTCCCCAAAGCCTTATTACTTACCTTTTAGCATTGGCTTTAATCGGGCTCTAAGGTGCCGCCTCAGCCCCCTGCAGGCAGGCCCACGGACTGCTGGAGGTTGTGCTTTAATTTCGTAACAGACATTTCTGAACCAAAGGCTGCTGGGTTTGCATGTTTACAGGCTCCACCCTAGGGCCAGTGTCAGCTGGTTTTGGGGAGCTGGGCAAGGAAGAGGAGGCCCAGCCTGGACTCTTCCTGGCCTTTCTCAACCAAAGTTCTTTGCCATTCCTACAAGCCCAGCCTTGCTGCTGGTTTGTCCTTTTCTTTGGGTATTTGCACTATTTAGGGAGCAGGTTTTTCTATGTGGGAGTCACTTTTTTGTACAGAGGTAACTGGGGTTTTTCAGGGAGCCCTACTTGGTGCCTCCTTCCTTATTTTCTTTTTTTGATCTATGCAAGCGGCTGCAGCCGCCATCATCTCCTGGGATGCCATGGGGCTGCCCACCCCCAGCTGCTTGGGTGGGGGGAGGTGGAGTCTCCCAGAGGGAGGGAATGTACCAGTTCTCTAACCCAGCTGGAGAAGAAGAAGGCTGGGAGGACTGTTGTTACCTTTTGCAGTTGGTCTTAGAGAGGGTAGGCCTAAGGCTTGGCAAATGCCACTTCTGACAAACTTGGAAAATTCCAAATAAATCCTTTTGTTTATTGGTGGTGCCCAGACCTGGTCATTGAACAGTGCAGTCACTTATTAACATGCTGGAGTTCTAGAGAGTTTATCACACAGACCTTTATTTGAGGGATCCACACAAAGGACATACCCTCACTTCCATAGTTTCTTGATGGACATATTTTTCTCACTGTCCTTTTGCATGACCTGGAGAGGGAGGGAGAAGAGAGGGAATACACACGTGTGAGTGAATTCAGGAACTGTACACACAAGCTTAGCCCATGGTCCAGAGCCACCAGAGCAGCAGCAGAAAGGTGGAGGCATATACCTTGGCCACTGCCATCTCAAAGTCCTCCTGAGTAACGTGGACACGCCGTTCTCGCAAGGCATACATGCCGGCCTCTGTACACACACCCTAAGCAGGAAAGAGAAGCTGAGTCCCTGCTGCAAGGCCCCCTTAGCACTGAGTTGGCTCTTAAGGGATCCTGCTACTGCCCCGCTTCCCTGAAGCCTCCAGTTACCTTCACTTCAGCCCCTGAAGCTCCTGGCATCAATTCAGCAATCTTTCTCAGGTTGATTCCCCTGGTCAAGTTCATTTTCCGAGAGTGGATTTTCAAAATGTCCAGCCGGGCCTAGGGATAAAAGAAGAAAGCCCTAAGCCCTGCACCGCATCTCCATAGCCAGAGCTTCTCCAGGCACCATCCACCACAGACCTCCTCATTGGGAGGCGGGAATTCAATTTTTCTGTCAATCCTCCCAGGACGAAGCAGGGCGGAGTCCAGGATGTCGATCCTGTTAGTAGCCATGATAACCTGGGAAAAGAAGGGTGGGATCAGCTAAGTAACCGTCGTGCGCCCCACGCCTTTAGCTGGCTGCTGGGGGCCTCCCCTCACCTTGATGTTCTTGGTGGCCTCAAAGCCATCCAGCTGGTTGAGCAGCTCCAGCATGGTGCGCTGCACCTCGCTGTCCCCTCCAGAGCCCCCCTCCAACCTCGAGGAGCCGATGGAGTCGATCTCGTCCATGAAGATGATGGATGGAGCATGTTCTCGTGCCATGACGAACAGCTCCCTCACCATCCTAGCCCCTACGCAAGGGCCAGCCTGGCATTAGGAACTGAAGTGCACCCCACACTCCCCCTTCCACTCAGCCCCCACGTCCTTAGTCATAGTTACCTTCCCCGATAAATTTCTGTACCAGTTCAGAGCCAGAGACACGAATAAAGGTACAGTCCGTATGATGAGCTACAGCGCGGGCCAACAATGTCTTCCCAGTGCCTGGAGGTCCATACAGAAGCACTCCCTGGGGGTGGGGGTGGGTACATCACACTATCACACTTAGGGAAAAAGCCAACTCCTTTCATTTATCGAACATTCACTAAGAGAAGGCTTTGTGTCAGGGATGTAAAAGGTGAAATCAATGTCCTTCTGGATGGTATTCAAACTAGTGCAGTACTGTGGAAATGTCTCCTGTTTGCTCTTCAGTGGGAGGGCAACCTAGCCCTGGATCTGGTTTGGGGCAGGAGGACAAACAGCTACCTCCCAGGAAAGTCTGATGTGTACCTTTGGCTGTGCAATGCCCAGTGCTTCAAAGAGTTCAGGGTGCTTCACCGGCAGCTCGATTACTTCTTTAATCTCTTTAATCTGCTTGTCCAGCCCACCAATCATCTCATAAGTTGAGTCTGGCACCTTTTCCACCATCATTAGTGACACCAGAGGGTCCACCTTATTAGGTAGGATCTTATGCAGAGTGTAGCTGTCATTCCTTAGAGCAACTCGGCAATTGGGCGTCACCTGGATGAAGAGTTGAGGGGGGGGGGGTTCAGGATACAGTGGTAGTGCTCCCCGCCCCCCCACATCACCAGTACACTTACATCATTGATGTCGATGTTCTTGTCCACATCAACAACAAATTTGCCCTCAGGATGGACCTGAAGAAACAAGGGCTCATGATTTTCTTCAACAGTCAGCACATCACCCCTAACTAGGAATACCACAGGGAAGTTCTATAACACAACACAAGGCTACATACAGCCAGTGGGAATGCAATGAGCTGGTCCTTGAGGTTATGCTGTTTTTACCTTGACCAACACCTTTTTCTTATCCATGGCCCGAACTACTTCTCCAACATAGGAGCCCTGTTCCTGTAGCAGCTGCAGCTCTTCCCGCAGTAGGCGAACTGAATAGAAAAAAAAAACAAACAGAACACGACCATGAAAACATACTGGTCACCTGGCTTTCCCAAGTATTTCCTTGGTACTCAATTAAGTATGTACAAACTAAAGACCATTTTATTTGAAAGGAAAGAACTTAGGTCCTGAAAAGGGTTTACAGTGGATCTTTGAAGAAGTGTGCCTGAGAAACTACTACATAATAAGCAGTGAGAAGCATCACTCAGGCTGCAAGGAGACGGTGAGCACTGCACAAGATGGAAGGCGGGGAACAGCCAGACCTTGCCTCAACCAACACAGTCCCTTTCCATCTTCTCCCGCTCACCTTTTGCATTTAGCTCGTTCCTCTGTGCCTGCAGCCTTCGGAGATTCTGGCTCTTATCATTTACAATCAGCTGTGAAGAGCAAGAGACACATCCCATTACTCAAAGGCAATAAATAGCCTGTAGGAAACTGGGACTTGGCTGAGATGCTTACACGAAGGTTTGAGCCTGGTCTTCAGAGCTCCCGCAGTATCTGAGGACCCTGTCCTATCTGCTAAGAGTCCCTAAGGAGCCTGGGGCAGCCATCACAGAAGGCAAGAATAACAGGACCTAACGAAAAAAACTATAACTTCTCATGGAGTGGCTTCTGGAGAGGAAACATGGTATGGTAGGAAGACCTCAGGTGAGAAGCCTGAGTTGTAGCTCAACTGCCGTCAGTGAAAAGTTAGTTCCTAACTCCAAGTCTCAAGATGTATGTATTCAACCTGGAGTGACTGTAGAAACCAGGAAAGTAAAAGGGGATGAGTGTGTGTGTGTGTGTGTGTGTGAGTGTGTGTGTGTGTGTGTGAGTGTGTGTGTAACAAAGGGATACAGGTGATTTGAAGGGGGAAACGGTTAAGGGGAGATCTTTACTTAGAAAAGAAAGAAGATAAATATAGGAGGGAGGAAGGTAAAATAGGATATCTGAAAAAGTCATTAAGGAATCATTATCCACATAAAATAATATATAATACATATAAGTCTATATATACTGGTACACAGAGTATAAATGAGAATTTCCCACCTGGGTTGACAAAGCTCCACTCAAGGGCCATAGACTAGCTAATAAAAACCCCACCAGGTATGAGTATCCACCTTTTGAATTGTTGGTCAGGGTCTCAAAACATAGGCGACTGCTGTTGCCCTTGGTTGCCACCCCAGAGGTGGAAGATAAGTCACTATTGATAAAGACACTAGACACTTCAGATACAGGCCTCAGCAGGTGAGGTGGATCAGACCGGAAAGTCCTTCCCCTGAGGACCAGTTTTCATGGTACTAAAAGGAACCATGCAAGCTTCCAAGGGAGGAAGCAACTAACAGCCCTCCTTAGCTATGGTGCCGATGAATGACAGCAATAGTAACATACATACCTTGTGGCAACCAACAGCTCCTGTTTAACAGGAGGGAAAGCATGCCTGGTACTGGAAATCTAGCCAGCTACCCCAGGCTAGTGAAGTCGTGGATCTTGAAAAGACTACACCATTTTACTAGAACAGCATAGTCCATAACTACATTTTACTATCTTATAACTACAGACAAGTGTAGTTCTTACTCCCTATCAAAGAAACTTCTCTTGGCAACAAATGGAGACAATTACAAAAAACCACAACTGCTCAAAACAAGAGACTGTGGTGTATAGGAGGGATTGAAAGGAGGAAAAGTGTATGTTGGAGCACATATGTGTCATGCAACCAGGATTTCAAAAACTAAAATTAGAAAAGTGAGTTAAAAAGGTAGGGCAGTCGGGCCTTTAATCCCAGCACTCCGGAGGCAGAGGCAGACGGATCTCTTGAGTTTGAGGCCAGTCCGGTCAACAGATTGAGTTTCAGGACAGCCAGGGCTACACACAGAAACCCTGTTTTGAAAACCAACAACAACAAAATGATAGACCAGGATGACACAGATCTGTAATTCCAACACTAAGGAGGCTGAGGCTGGAAGCTGAGGAGTTTCAGGCCAGTCTGGGCTATATAATGAGGTGCTGTTTTTATAAATCCGTTAAACAGCCAGGTGGTGGTAGTGGTGCAAATCTTTGGTCCCAGCACTTGTGAGGCAGAAGTAGGACAATCTGTGAATTCAAGGCCAGCCTGGTCTACAGAGCTAGTTCTAAGACAGCCAGGGCTACACAGGGAAAGCCTATCTTGAAAACACAAAAAGAGCGGGGCGTTGGTGGTGCACACCTTTAATCCCAACACTCCAGAGGCAGAGGCAGGTGGATCTCTGTGAGTTTGAGGCCAGCCTGGTCTCCAGAGCGAGTGCCAGGACAGGCTCCAAAGCTACACAGAGAAACCCTGTCTCGGAAGAAAAAAAAAAACCAAAAACAACAACAACAACAACAAAAAAGGCAACTGTACACAGGCAACAGCATCCACTATCCTGCTTTATTTTAGATCCGAGTGATCACACGTAGAAGCATTAAAAAATGGTAACCCAAACTGGGTGTGGTGGCTCATTTCTTTAATCCCAGCACCTGGGAGGCAGAGGCAGGAGAATTCTTGAGTTTGAGCCCAGCCTAATCTACAGAGGGAGTTCTGGGGCAGCTGGGGGTACACACTGAGACACTGCCTAAAAAAGAAAAGGTAAACCAAATAGAATTGCTGTAAATGTTTCCAGCCCATTCTCATTCCCACTTACACCTTTGGCTCACTGTGCCTTTTGCAAGTGGTTTTGTTTTCCAGACAGTATCTTATGTAATCGAGGCTGACTTCAAACTCAAAATACTACTCTTGCCTCAGCACTACTTACTGGTATGCCCCCACCCAGTGGTACTTTTTTTTTTTTTTTTTAAATTAAAATTTGACTCTTGGGACTAGAGGTGGTTCAGTGGTTTAAAGTACTGGCTGCTCTT